AATTGTTCTGTACGCTGGCCGCGGTTCCCCACGCGTGCTTGGGTTCCAGGAAAAAAAAAAAGAGAAAAAAGGCTTCCGAGCTTCAAATGGCATTCCACACTCGATGTCCGGGACAGCACCACTCAACATGTCAGTCCCACTGGCGACTGAAGTGTTCACACAAAACTACAGCGTTAGCATGGCGTAGTTTAAAATGCAGAAAGAACTCAGGTCAGCTATAAGTGCCGCGCAGAGTTCTGAAATTGAATGCACATTTTGTTAATGCCACATTTGGGGAGGACCTGGCGCAGGCCGATGGTCCAAACACAACAGGGTTGGCCTACCCGACCCCAGGCGGGCGGCGGGGCTGTGCAAAATTACGAGAACTCCAGCTTTGGTGATTTTTAGTTCCAATTTTGGCGATGCAAAATTAAGAAAAGAAACGAGAGGCGTTGGTCAGATCACCCCCCATCCCGAAAAAAAAAAAAAAAAAAAAAAAAAAGAAGGGTTCAAAAAGTGGAAAAAAACTGAACATATCATATTCATGAAATTACAAGCCGCATATCAGGCGAGGCTTTACTCTCTCTGGTGGAGGATATAATGCGCCAAAAAATAGAACCAGAGCGCGATACCATCACTCCTGAATAGCCCTTCTGCGTCGTCCATTCAGGCCAAAAAGTAATTTTCCCCTTCTGCGTCGTCGATTCAGGCCAAAAAATAATTTTGGCGACCTACAAAAGGTATTCGCGCAAAACCGAATTCTCATTCCATTGGGGTATGGAATGTGTGTGCAAATTTCAGAGTGGATCGCTCCTGTCTGGGACGCTACCACTCGACGTGTCGCTCCCACTGATGACTGAAGTGTTCCAACAAAACTACAGCGTTAGTCTGGACTGGCAGCCTGAGTTCAAAATTCAAAGAGCATCGAAAACTCAGGTCAAGAAAAAATTGCAAATGCTAAAAAAAAAAAAAAAAAAAAAAAAAAAAAAAAAAAAGCATGATGGGTCCAATCAGAAAAATGCAAGAAAAAAGGGGGGACAGAGGGGATAGAAAAAACCAACAGTGAGATGAATGCAATAATGATAGGGGTTGCCCCGTCGTAAAAGGACCAGTGCATACACTAGAATGTGGCACGCACGGTTTGGGATGCACCGGGCTGCTGTGGGCAGATGAATTCATTCACGTCCGGCCTGCTGCATGCAGACAAATACATTCACGTGGGAAACAATGCAGCGTTCTTGCCATAGCTGCGAAACGTTATGGGTGGGGAGAAGGTGGGGAGAAGGTGGGGAAAGGGGGGAAAAGGGAACAGATTTCATAAATCCATTACCGAAAGTTAACACACTACTATTCGGCTATTTCGGACCCGTTCCTGAAACTTCTACAACGCACACAGCTAAGATGTCGAGACTTGAAAATTCACGAGACTCGAAAATTCACGATACTTGAAAATTCACGTCTGCCACTTTGTGCTTGTCGTATTGCTCCTTACATAGTTAAGGTGTCATATTTGTATTTGTCCAAGTGATGTAACGTAATGTTACATAGTAGTAGTAGCGGCGTTCGCAAAACGTAAGAGTATATAGAACACTTGGGGATTTTGGGAGTACGCTCATAAATTTTCAACACTCAATTTCTTCTGAAACAAATCCTATTACCGCCCAATGAGACACGTGCTTGTTGTGGATGGTATTGTGGACGGTAATGGGTTCATACTACTTCATAGTACTGCATACATTTTTTTTCAGACCATTAGTGTTTGCTATGGAATCCCGACACCCTGTTTTCTTCAGTTGCATATGGTACCTTCCATGTAGGATGCCAGCCTGGTCAGCCGAGCAGATCTCCCCAGAAACACCAATGAAACAGAACAGCATACAGCACTGGTAATCTCTCTCTCTCTCTCTCTCTCTCTCTCTCTCTCTCTCTCTCTCTCTCTCTCTCTCTCTCTCTC